TAGGCAAGTGCAGGGATAGGGGTTCGAGCCCCTGTACCACATACTGAGCTTGTCACCAAGAGCAGGCATGCTGATGCAGGCCTGTAATTGCAGTACTGGAGAGGCTGCAACAGAAGGATCACTATGAGTCTGAGCTGCACAGTGAAACCCTGTACCAAATACATACCTAAATAAATATATAAATAAGGACACAAAAGTTACACTCGGCTTCATAGGTCCTACTTCATAGGTAGCTGTGTCAATTAGGCAGGTTATTGTACCTTTCAGTCTGTTTTTCTGTGAAATGGAGATAGTATCACAAAGGCCTCCAGGGTTTCTGTGAGGATCAAGTGAATTAATACACAAAGAGCGCCTGGAACAGTGTTGGACACATGGGTAATACTACATGTAGATTATTCTTGTTCAACTGAGGCAGTTAACTGATAGTACCAGTTTACAGAAAGACTACTTTACTTTGGTGGTAATTGTGGTAGGTGGTCAAGACATGACTTGAATAAATATTAGTATAAATGAAATTAAAACATATTTGGTAAACCACTTCTTTGAAAACATAACTTTTAAAGAAATAATGCTGATTCTCTTACCTGTTGTCAGCCATTCTTTTTCTATGGTATTTTTCTTTTTAAATTACCCGAAAGGATATGTACATTTAACAAAATATGAAAATAATAGTGAAAAAGTACACAATTTATGTTGAGGGAATACATGAATGAGTTACAGCATGACTTTACTGTATTTCCTAATGGATATGATTTAACTTGAAAATCAGAAAGTGTAAGTTTTGTCTTAATGAAGCCTGTTCTATTATAATAAAGAAAAATTCTAAAATATGCTCAGGATAGCATAACATTTTTTTAAATGAGGCATTTTATGAATATTATTTTGGACACAGATGACCAAACAATATATGAATTCAAGCCCTGGTGTAGACTGTCAAGGCTGGACACTGGAGTAAACAACATTCTGCGGATTCTTGTAATCTGTTATCTGTCCACAGGATTAGGTCAGCTTTAATATGGAAAGAACTCTATCTCTGGAGCGCAGTATCACAGTGAATTCACTGAAACTCTAGCGCCCAGAACTGAAACAAAAGCAGTCTCTAAACATAACTATTAAGCCCTAGAGTTGAATGAGGCTTAAAAATTGTCAGCCTCTCTCAACCTCTCAACCTTTATTTACCTAGGGCCCTTAAATGTTTGATGAAGCCAATATCTAGCCTATCATTTGTTAATACGAAAAGATACTTTATTTTATAATCTTAACCCATTTGGGCTTTCATAAGCACTATCTTAAATTTTTTTTTTTTTTTACTATTTTAAATTTTTCCTAAATCATCTTTCCAATCAACAATTTCAAATTTTTTTTTCAGAGAATTACTGGTTCACACTTCCGTAATTTGATACACAAGAACTCACATTTTCCCAGGTATGATAATTTAACATTTTGGGAGTTTTAGATGAGGGCCACTGGGAAGAGTAAGCACTAAACTTGTTTTTAGTATTGTTTTAAAAATGTTTAGGTATCTGTAGATACCTATCTCTGTAGATAATTATAATAATATAAATGTAAAATTTAGTCTCATGTAACTGTAACAAAAGGAATACCTCAACTGGACACTTAAATCCAAATGACTCATACCATATTTCCAAATATGAAATACTTTGTTCATTCTGTCTCCAAATTCTACACTCCAGTATCCAATCAATTCAGAGTGAGCTGTCCGAAGATGAACATTTTTCTTAAAATTTTCCAGGAACTCATTCATTTTTGAGGGTTTAAGATAACAGGTTCGAAATTCATACAGCGTTCCATCCTGTTGTCTGGGCCCTGTAGCAAAAGATGAGCACACCTGAGGAAAGACAAGGCAAATTTAAGTATTGTGGGGAAGACGGGACTCATCGTGATGTTCCAAGATCTGAGTCTGGAAACAAGAGGCACTCAGTAGACTCTTACACTTCGTTTTTCTCCTCTGGGCTTCCTACAGAAGAACTGTGTTTATGCAGAGCTATCAAGAAGGTAACTACTTTTAAACATGCTGATTGCACAATTACTGTTTCTTAACATGTAGTTCACTTTTACCCAGTTTCTCATGACAGTTCACTCAAAAGAAAGAACTAAATCAATTCCCTTAAAATTAGACTCACAATACTGTTTTCTCTTCAGATCATATAAATCTTTCGCCTTTTAAAATTAGATTCACACACATTTACTAAAGATTCTTCCTTATTACACAATAGTTCATCTTTTTATTTTTTGCAGTACCAGGGATTGAACTCAGGACCTCACGTTTGCCAGGCAAACACTTATTCCACTGAGCTATCTCCCCAGCCCTCACCTTTACTCAATATGTATTAGCTTTACATACTTAGAAATTTAAATATGCACATCTTTCGAGTAGACTAACAATAGGTTCACAAGCAGAAAATTCTTAAGTTCTTAAAAACTGGAAATTGCTATTCAGGTCATAGTATTTCCTACAGTTGATGAAGTGAAACACTGGTCAAAAACTGCACTGGAATGTAATTAACACATCAGGACGCTATATGCTCTGCATGGGAGCATAATGGTAGATTCTGTGAATGCCGGAAGGGAAAATTTAGTCATAATTACCTGAATCATTAATTTCTACTGAAAGATGTCATATGAAGGGCATTTAAATGCATCTAATTGTACTGTTGATAGAAAATCCTATAAGAACCACTCGCTCTTTTTTATTGGTCATATGCTCAACATGTAAATTTTTTTGTACCTGGGATCGAACTCAGGATGTTGTGCTTGCCAGGCTGGTGCTTATGCCCTGAGCTATCTCCCCAGACCAATGTGTAAATTTCTAATTATTTGTGTCTGAACTTAACTTTGATGAGGAAACATCCTGCCAGAAATTATCCTGTGTCTACCTATATGAGGAAATGTACGTATACACAACACACTGTAGCATTTCAGTTTACAAATCCATCTTAACATTACATGTGCCCATTTTCCTAAAGCTAATTATACCGAAGAGGATTTTACAGCAGATATTTACCGCCAATGCTATGGCAAATTAAAAGTTTAGTTTGACCATCTGGTATGTCTTGAGAGAAAGCAATGAATGGGCTTTTCTTAGGACACGTTTTATTTTAAAAGTCTACATATTGTTTAACTGTATGTTAGTCTCAATGTCCAAATGACTAAGGTAGCAATAAAAACAAGTACAGCTGCCCCTGTTTAGTGGAGTTTTTAGCCAAACTCTAATAATAGAACGCTGGTAGAAGGAACAAATGCCTAGTATACATAGTTAAAATATAGTGAAAGTAAAATATATCAGAAAATGGCCCAATGGGGCATTTGTTCCAATTCTTTTGGGTGGATTCCAGAGCCTTGTATTTGGAGGATGACAGAGTTGTCCAGAAATACTCTGGGGGGGGGAACCAAAACAAACAAAAACATAAGAAGGGAATCTCGAGAAGAAAGTGTGAGAGGGTGAAATGATTTTGAAATTTGGGTGAAAGGGGTGGTCACAAACGCCCCCTGATTTCCAAAACAAGGCTCGTTCTGGCCAGCAGTGACTAACAATTCACTTCTCCGAGAACACCAGTAGAAAGGTGAAAACACCGAAGTTCAGGGAAAAGTAAGGCAATCATCCTTGGCCCTGCCCATCCAGAGACTCGGGACAAACCCTTCTTCAGCCTTCAGCAGAAGGTCTGCTCTGGAGATGAGCCCTCCTGCCAACCTGCCCGATGAGAAGCGGGTGAAAGCCTACCCACTGAGAGGAAAAGCAATGTCGGGGGACGCTGATGGAGCAGCTCGAAGCCGGGGAGCCGCGGCTGGACCACAGCACCCCCGTGTGCATTTCTTTCTCACGCTAGGCTGAGTTTGGGGGCGCCCTGGCCCGCGGGGAGGGAGGGGCGCTGGGTCCCCTTCCAGGTTCTCAATAACGCGCTCGTTCGGGTTAGAAGGGGGAGGGTGGGTCTCCGGCGGCGGCGGCGGCGGGTCTGACCCATCCACCGTCCCTGAGGGCGGGCGGCCGCGCGGACCCGGGCTGCGTGAGGGACGCGCCAGGAGCCGCAGCCGCGATGGTGCCGGCGACACGGACGATCCGGCCCGCGCGCCCGGGAGGCGCCCCCGCCGAGGGGT